CAACCTGCCATATATAGTTAGAGGTGCGTCATTCTGTCTACTATCGACGGCAGTCGATGGTGGTGCTGGCTACCGGCAGTGGCTTGGGGTGAGTGGGGGTAATTTTGCTATAAATTAAAGTTTTATATAGTTTGGGTGTTTTAGCAAAATTTCAAATATAGGGGGTTAAAAAAATAATTCAAAAAATAATAATAAAAAATACTATTATATTAATATTTAAAAAGGGGGGCAATTTAGTAATCTATATAACATACCCACCTATTTATCCTCCAAACCAAACATATTATTCACCAATTTATTTTAACCAATCAAACAAATTTTCTAAAAATTCTCAATAATCTTCAAGGTGATCTTTCTTTCTATTAATTTAATATACCCATATAATAAAACATTATATGATGCAAACGCCTCCTTAGTGAATACCTTTGACTTTCTAACTATTATTTTATTTTTAAATTTTTCTTTATGATTTTTTGATCAATTTTTAAGCAATCTCTCTTGATTTATAATATAAGAAACTTCCTTTTAACCCAATTAAGAATTAAATAAATAAATTTTACCCTAATTCTTGTAAAATATAAATCAATTGGTACATATGTAGTGGTTCATTGCGCGCGCATGAATTTCTTTTCTATAAGCTTTGTTCCATTATCATTATGCGGGATATCATTTATAGCTTGAAAATTATTTGATTATCAAAAGAATTTCATTATCATTATACCTAGGGCTTGAACACAGCTTCACCCCTGGTTGCATATATAAATATGCATACTCTATAGTTCATATTTTGTCAAGCACTATACAATTGTACAAAAACTTAGACAAATAAAGCCAACCCTTTCATTGTTAATTAATTTCAAGGGGGTGTATTTGCAAAGTTTTTCAAAATGATAGGATGGGAAGATATATACAAAGTGGTGGTAGCCATGGCTCCCCTCTATGTTGCATTAATTTTAGGGTATGGCTCAGTGAAGTGGTGGCACATCTTCACACGTGAGCAGTGCGACGCCATAAACCGTTTGGTTAGTTTCTTCACGATGCCCTTGTTCACTGTCGAGTTCACAGCTCACATCGATCCATTCCAAATGAATTATCTCTTCATCGGAGCAGACGCAATCTCGAAGCTTATAATCGTCGTGGTGCTCGCCTTCTGGGCAAAGTGTAGCAGCAAAGGGAGCTATTGCTGGTCCATCACGAGCTTCTCTTTGTGCACTTTGACGAATGCTCTCGTCGTCGGGGTGCCTTTGCTGAAGGCTATGTATGGCCAAATGGCTGTCGATCTTGTGGTGCAAGCCTCGGTTATTCAAGCCATCATTTGGCTGACATTTTTGCTGTTTGTTTTGGAGTTTCGGAGGACATACACAGGAACTTTCACTGCTTCAAATTCAAGCGTCGAAGATGCTGAGAAAGATGTGGAGGGAAGTTCGAGTGATGAGACAAGTAGCAGACCATCTTTTTGGTTCTTAATGAAGGTTGTGTGGCTGAAACTAGCCATGAATCCTAATTCCTATGCCTGTATTGTTGGCATTGCTTGGGCTTTTGTAGCCAACAGGTGAGCAAATTAATATTTGGTTTTTTGTTAAAACTTTTCTGATGTGACTGTAAATTCTCAGGTCAGTACAGAAGACGTGTTTTTCTCTAAATCGGAACATCTGATTTATGTTAACTCTTTTTAGGTGGCACTTTGAGATGCCAAGCATCATGGAAGGATCTATTCTTATCATGTCTAGAGCTGCAACAGGCACTGCCATGTTTAGTATGGGTGAGATTCTTGACTTGTCTCCTAAACTCAAATATTAAAAGAAAAATATATACTAAACTAATATAGAAGATAATCTTTAATAAGAATAATCTTATTTTCTATTTTACAATAAGAATAATTCTATTTCCTATTTTACAATAAGAATAATCTTATTTCCTATTTTACACTTCAACAATAACCCTGAAAGTCTTAAATTTTATTTTCTTTTGTTATGGAAAATATTAAATATTAATGGGAATATTTTGGATACATATATATTTGCAGGGATCTTCATGGCTTTGCAAGAAAAGTTGATAGTTTGCGGGCCTAGCTTGACTATGTTTGGAATGGTTTTAAGGTTCATAGCTGGACCAGCAGCCATGGCTATTGGTGCTATTGCTATGGGTTTGCATGGTGATGTTTTACGTGTTGCTATTATTCAGGTAATTTATTTTATATAAATTATTATTATACCATAAGAAAATAACTACAATACAGGTATTAGTAAAAGCTATCGATTCTAAAACTATTCTTTTATTTATTTTTTAAATATAATATTTTAATCTAGTATATATAAATATATCATTGAATTAATATCGTAATATGACCCTTTTTAAAATCATCATACCTAAAGATGTCAAATGAGTCAACAGAAACATTAATTTACATGTATATTTTGTACATATACTGTACTAATGTTGTGCTACTTCAATAAAAATTATTATTTCACATGTAATATTCAACCATATATTATATGAACCAATTTGACTTATTTGACACTTCTAATATTTTCTATTTAAAAGCCATAAACTTGAAAATAAAAACAAATGGTTGTAGATCACATATTATATATATTATTTATACCTATCTAATAAAATGTATAAGTGAAACAGTTTGTTTATAAATTTTATATTTTATATATATTATAAACTTGACGTTTAATTTATAACTATTACGTTCTATAAGTTTTTCCAGCATACCATGATCTACTCCACGAAATTAAGGCATTTAATTGAAAAAGAAAATTAAGAAAACAATAGAATATATCAAGCCTAAAAACAGATTTGTGGGATCTTATGTCACTTATTTTAATACTTAATGAATTTGCTTTAAGACTTAATTAGAGACAACACAATGGACATTACGTTGGCACATGCAATTGTTTAATTAATTAAAAATATATGTGGTCGATTATTAATTATATATATATATGTTAATTAATTAATATTTATGTTGTTGCAGGCTGCACTGCCACAATCCATTACATCCTTCATCTATGCTAATGAATATGGACTCCATGCAGATGTGCTTAGCACTGCGTAAGTTAATGCTTTATTTATTTATTTAATTATCGAAACATTTTCATCAAACAAAAACTTTTTTTATTTATTTCCCTTGAGATTTGACCTACTTATAAATATACAGGATTAAATAAGAGATATAACAAAATCAATATATATTTCTTGTATAATTTTAAGAATTTTTTGCTGATTTAATGCGGCTTATCAGTTGTATACTCGTCTAGCTAGTAAATCTTAACATCTTATGATCACAATAGATTTATTTATATTATTAAAAAATAATAGTATGTATGATCGAATTATTTATATGAATGACGTAATATGTTTGTTATAATTAAATTTACGATGATTTTTAAAATATATTCATATGTAATTTTTTTCAATATTCTATAGCATAAAATTAATGCAACCTTTTGAGATATGGAAATTTTATCTTTTATATACTTTTTTTGCAGGGTGATCTTTGGCATGATAGCATCACTTCCAATTTTGATTGCATATTATGCAATTCTGGAGTTTGTACATTAATCCTTCAATCAGAATTTTGAAGAAAATTAAGAAGGGTCGACAGAAAATAATATGCTGCCTTGGCCCTCTCATTATAACTAAAAAAAAAAGAAAAAAAAACTAGTGGAAATTATTCAAAGCCAAATAGAGATTTCTGCTATTCGCTGTATAAATCTTGATCTCAAATTGATCTAGAAATTAGTTACAGATGATTGTTGCTAATCATCCAAGTGAAATTTTATATTTCTCTTGGACAATTTTTTTCTCTTTTGTTTTATGCTATACTTCATCGTGTAACTTCAAATTGAATCACCCTAATTGATACCAAGTCATTATCGTATTAATTAATAAATTTTTAACTTAAAAGATACTATAATTCTTCTCTCATAATAAGTAATATACTCTATCTTATATATATATATAGAGAGAGAGAGAGATAGTATTTAATGAAAATTATTAATAGAATATAACATTTGAGTAGTAAAATAATATTTTAAAAGTCCGTGGGTGAAAAGTGTCATTAGACCATTATTTGAATGGGAAAAAGTCGTTTACTCTTAAGTTTATTACTAAATCAAAATCTGAATTGATGCCTCTACTTCTTATACATTAATCTCGTTCTTGTCCCTCTAATCGAAATTATAATTTATTGTGCCATAAAATTTATTTTATTTGTTTCTGCAAAATGGGATTATTGATGAGTTAATTTTGTGATATATTTTGTTTGGCATATTGACATTGATGGTGGATGGTGGCTGTGATGGAATCAAAACTAAATGCAGAATATATGCTAGTAAAGAATTAACTGGTATCAAATAATCAAGTCAAAATTTACATAAACAAGCCTAAGCAATTTAATTTTCATAAAATGATAGAACAAAAGAGGGTGATGGAGAAGATTACTAAAAGGGACAAACATTACTTTCTAATTGGGTGAGGAGTTACGCCCAAAAACCAACAAGTGGTATTAGAGCCAACCCCATTTGAGTTGAGTGATTGATTAGCGGTGGGCTGCAAACTACCTCCATTCATAGGCAGGTGGACCATGTGGGCTTGACTATGAGGAGGAGTGTTAGAGTCCCACATCGATCAGACACGTTCAAGCCTACTAGTTTATAAGAGGGAGTAATCCTCCTATTCAACAATGTTTTATTGGGTGAGGAGTTAAGTCCACCTCAAATTCTATCATGATATCAGAGCTCAGATTCAGTTGAGTCGAGTACTTGACTAGCAGATGAGTGAAGAGTTAAAACCGACAACTACCTCCAATAACAGGCATGACCCAACATATAAACTTGACTGTAAGAAAGAGTGTTAGGGCTCCACACCTAAATCTCTCTTTCTTTCTTTGACTTGCCTTGCTTACCTAATCTTAAAAGAAAATAAAGAAGAAAAAAAAACTCTAGAAAATTACAATCTCGCCCCTTCCCCTCCCCCTCGCCCCCAACTAACGAACAACTAATAATCTTTTCAATTTCACTCCTCCATCAAAATCAACGAACAACTAATAATCTTTTCAATTTCACTCCTCCATCAAAATCAAATATATAAAATGAGATTTCACGTTGTTGTGTGCCAGATCTAAGCAAGTCTTGAAGAAGAAGAAGAAGAAGACTCTAGCCAGAGATCTCCATCTCTCTCTCTTCGCCTCTGTTGCTTCATCTCCAACCACTTGAGTCATGTCTCCGAGCAAGCTCGACTCCACCGTAAGTCTCTGATTTCGCTGAATTTTGTTTAATTTTTTGTATTTTTTCCATATTTATTTGACTCTAATTGCCTCCATGTCTGTGAATTCCGCAGGCTTTTTTTTTTTTTTTTGGATTCTTTTTTGTGCCCAATTTTGTTTTAATTTTGGAGTAGTTTTTAATATATTGAGTAAGCTAATTTCAGTAATTTTGGTTTATTTATAAAATTACTGAAAATTATTGAATTATAACTGGAATTGTTAAAAATATCAGTATTTCTCATGTCAAAATTAAACAAAAAAATTGTTTTTTTTTTTTTTTTTCCCCTTTTTGGAATTGAAGTGTGTATTTTAGTTTTAATTCTATTTTAGTGTAGTTATTAGTTTGCAGAATAAGCTAATTGTAGTAATGATTTGGTTAATTACTTGATTGAAGGTGGAGGTCTGTTTTTAGCTTTATATGTGGAATTGTTAGAAGTATCAGTGGTTCTTATGTGAATATATAAGAAAAGAATTGATGCATAGATGCTTGTTTTTTGTGTCAAGTATTTGTGTCTTGTCTGATAGGCTTCCTATGGAAATGGGGATGCAAGTGTTTCGTGCTCACAGCCAGAGAATGGTTTTGTTGATTCACTTCCTCTCATTCAGTCAGAGAAGGCAGTGCAGGAACTTCTTCAACAGACTCCTGTTCAGGGAACAGATGAACATCTTATAGAGTTTTCTGAGGCCTTGAGAAGTATTTTCATTACTTATTCTTGAATATATTTCTATCTTAATGGAAGTATATGCCTTCCTGTAATCTCAATTTGAAATTTGATGCTTATTTCATTTTCAACACAATTTTAGCTGTTGCAAAGGCATTAAGACGAGTTGTTGAAGGAGAGGCTGCTGCTCAAGCTAAGGCTGCAGAATGGAAACGTAGATATGAACTGGAGAGGACACGAAATCTGCAGATGGAACGTAGAGGTTCTTATTGATGGAATATGATAGATAAATTATGACGATCTATGACTTTGAACTTCTGTGAAAATTTTTAAAACTTTAGATAGCAAAGCTCATTTCAATTATATGAAGTTAGCTAGACCAATCTTCTTTTGCATTTGAATCTTATATTAGGTTTATTTTTTCAGTAAAACTGTAGTGCATTTCCCTTTACAGCTTCTTTCCAGTTTCTTTTCCACCTTTATTGTGGTCTTATAGTTATTAGAATGCTACTCTGTAGTACTGATACAATGGGTAGTCTTTACTGAACTTGGCTGATCTCTTGTAGTTAACTGATTTAGATCTTTATTTATGTGACCATTAGCATCTGATTCAGACATTAATTAATAATTACTCTGTATCTTGATCTCTTCTATCTCATCACCCTTATTTTATGGAGAGTTCGTCTCTATTATATACCACCATGGTCTTACAGCTAGTTTATATAAAATGTAACTCTTAAATTGGTGAAAGACTTTAGTCCACTTCACACTAATTTTGGAATTTTGTTCTAACCTGATTAGACAGACCTATAGGGAAATCGTTGATATCTGCTTCTGTTGAGTTCCTTTCCCTGGCTATACCAGAAAGGATAAGAAATAAGCAAATAATATTTTAATAATAAAAATAAGCAAATTGTTCCTCTTCGTGAAGTTTTAGAAAGAGTAAAATTACTTGAAATTCTACAATTTGATTTCTATGAATTTGAGGAGTGGCAAGCAGATGATGTCCCTCCACTTGAAATTCTACAGTTTGATTTCTATGAATTGGAGAAGTGGCATGTAGATCAAGATGCAATGCCAATGCTTAGAGACTTGAAGATCCCATAGATCTCTTATAAGCTTAGACAAATACCCCCTATGTTACATTTGGCCACATTTAACTTAACAATTATTCAACATTTATAAATGTTTACATAATTTGTAAAACTGAATCCCAATTGCATACAATCAAGATGACAGTAATTGATCAAAGTAATTTAATATTATTATACATTACTTTTTTTTTTTTTCCTTAAATTTAATTTTGTAGCAGTAATATTGAAAAATGGTTGAAAATCAAAGCGTGCGCACAAGAGAATCTATAAATATACAATCAATACTTCTAAGTTAATGTATAGTATAGTTCAAATGGAAAAACACACTAAGACAAAGCATTCCAGTTACTAAATTTTTAATTAGAAACGAGTGCGTGCAGTCGAATATCTCCTGGTAGGGGCAGGGATTGATATCAATCTTTCTGGAATTCTCAGCTCGGAGTTCTTTGGGTTGATCTCCAGATTTTTAAGCATAGGCATAGCTCCTTTCTCAACTTGCCATTCCTCCCACTCGTACAGGTCAAGAATTTCTAAACTTTCAAGCTGAGAAAAACCCTTTTCCCTGCATATCATTTTCTTTCCATGGTAAGAATGAAACCGCAATTCCAGACTTACTAGGTTCGGTAACTTCTCTAACTTTGGCATCGGATCATCCTGAAGATTCGAATTACTTAACGATAAGCATTCGAGATTCGGCAACATTGTGTGCATGTCTGCTGGTAGTTCCTCTATCTTCCCACCCAATGTCAAATCCTGGAGCCGTGGACAGTGAGAAAGTGGTTGCAGTGAACTAAAAGAATGAACGCCGGACAGTTCTACCGATAAAATTCTAATGTTTTTCAGCTTGGCAATAGAGTCGAATATGAATGGTTCTTGTTCTTGTTCTTGTGTGTGGAAATGATTGATGTGCAGCTCGCGAAGATTAACCAGCTTATCAGGATGAACTTTACTCCAACTTTCATAGCTTACGAACTTCAGAGTCTGAAGGTTTGTCAAATTGTCTATCGGCAAAGGCCCTTCAAATGTTCCGATTAAATGCCTCAACTCCTGCAATTTGCCAATTCCAATGGGAAGCTTGAGGAGCCATCTGCGAGAGTATAAGTCCAGAGTTTGCAGTTTTCGTAAGTTGACTATCGATGGTGGAAGATTTCTGATGAATGAAATCCTTACCGTTAAATATTTTAAGTGGACCAACTGCCCAATCTCTTTGGGTAACCTATGGCAATTAATGTAGCCTCCATAATTCTCGACATGAAGAACTCTAAGCAACCTGAGTCTTGTGAAAATAGCGGTTGATGTTTGCCTGAAAGAGTCCTGATCTCGATCGTACAACAAGAGGGAACGTGAGAGAGAATTACAATGTTGGAACGAGGAACTTGTTTCAGAATAAAAAACTAGTCGGCGAGCTGATGATGTTGGAGTTGGAGAGCAAGTTGGATGGTGAATTCCGTCGTAAATGTGAAAGAAATTCAGCTCTTTTGCCTTTTGAATTGCCAGATCCCGCAAAAGATCATGGATTCGGCATGTTTCAACCCTCCCTCGACATATGTTTTCAATTTGAATCAAGCTTCTATTGATCAACTCATCGAGGTTGTTTTTTGCCACCTCTTCCATTACACGATCATCATCTTCTCTTATGAAACCTTCTGCTACCAGTAATCGGATTGCTTTCTCTATAAAGAACTCAAAATCCTCAGGGAAAACCCCAAGATAGAGAAAGCAGAGCTTCAATTGATAAGGCAAATCATTGAAGCTTAAAGTTAATAAGGAAGGTATGTGGATTGAATCATTCCTTAAATGCTGCCAAATGTGATCACGAACCGAGCGCCACTCTTGTGGTTTCTTTGTAGACAACAGCCCGCCTAATACAATTATGGCAAGTGGCAGACCGCCGCATTTTTCAACCATTTCTCTTCCCAGCTTTTCTAATTCTTCGTTTGCATTCGATTTTCGAAAAGATTTCTCACAGAATAAGTTCCAAGACTCATCAGGCCTAAGAAAACGAAGTTTATGAACATGAATTCTCTCATCCGAACGCTCAGCTACTTCTTTGATGCGAGTAGTGATTATAACTCTGCTTCCATTGTTGCCATCCGGAAAGGCTCTTTTCAAACTCTCCCATGCTTCTTTCTGCCATACATCATCAATCACCGCCAAATATGAGCGTCCTTGTAAAGATTTATACAGATACCTCTCCAAATCCTCTTCGCTCATCTTCTCTAACTCCACTCCGTTAATTTTGATCTCAAAAGACTTTATAATTCGTCGAAGAAGATCTTGAGTTTGGTAATCTTGAGAGACATACACCCAAGCTCGTAGGTTGAATTTATTCAAGACATCAATGTTGTGGTAAAGTTTTTTAGCCAGAGTGGTTTTGCCCAGACCTCCCATGCCAAAGATGGAAACCACAAAACGCCGTGGCTCACCCTCAAGAAGTTTACCCAACAACATTTTAGCATCATCCTCAAAGCCAACGATGTTCTCATCAACTACAAAGGAAGTGGCTCTTCTTAAATCTATCAACCTCTCAAGATTATTGCTCTTTCCTTCCCTCCTATTACCAATATCCTCAAGGCGATACAATTCCCGTTTACGAGATAGATCGATGATCCTTTTCTGAACTGATTCAATCTCCTTGCCTATGCCATACAGATCTTTCATCTTGCCTATATCAAATAGACATGAATACTTCCTGATCAAAGCAAAGAGAGCCGGTCGATCTCGACTCGGAGTCTTTCCGTGATCGATTTTGAGCATGAAATTATCCAAGACATCCTCAGTATCATAAGCAATGTCTCTGATATCAGAAACCCACTTGCGAATCATAGCATCTTCAACTTGTTTTTCTTCGGCATCCTTGATGAAACATTGCATCCATTCAAGCTCATTCTTTAGCAACTGCACTTCATCTCTCACATCTCGTAAAAACACTGCTTCTTGGATGATATAATCTCCAAGCTTATGTACCACATATGACACAACTGCATCAACCATGCTTCACAATTTTTTCTTTGAGTAGGAGTGGACTAAATTTTCAGCTATATGTTTATATGAAATGAAAGTGCAAGGATTTCAAGATGGAGAATCCAGAAATTGCTGCCAGTTTCGAGTGAAAGTTGTAGTGAATATTTATCGAATTTCATCATCGACTTCTAAGGTCTATTTCTTTGATTGCCTACAAAAATAGACTTGACCCACAATATTCAAAGTTAATATGCTGTCGAGGAATGAAATTGCCTGGATGTTTCTTTAAATTCTAATTTCTAAATATAAACAAGCAAAAGCAATGTGCAAATAATTGAATGAATTTAGGGCTGAAAAAAAAAAAAAAAAAAAAAAACCGAACCGAACCAAACTAGAAATATGTACCGAAATTGGTCCGAAAAATCAATTTTTCATAGTAATCAGTTCGGTTTTGGTTTTTTAAATTAAGAAAACTGGAACCTATTTGGTTATTGATTCAAGTATAATACCGAAACTAGTTTTACAAATCGGTTTTTCCATAAAATTAAAACTTGAAACCAAATAAGTAAAGAGTGAGAGAGTTAACAAAATAAATAAATAGGTAATTGACAAACACGACACTACTAGAGAAGTACATATGTTAAGCTGTGTTTGGTTGCCAACGACGTATGGCCAATCCAGATCGAAGCCTTTGTCGGTTGATTACAATACTGGGAAACCACTTACGCCTTCATCGGCCACAAGCTTCCCACCACCATCCGTAACAATGCAACTGCAAGCCTCTCTTCCACACAATCTCATCTCCCATTTTCTTTAATCACCGGATCTATAGTAAATGGGTTTCTTAGTTTTTGTAAGTTTTTTATTTTCTTTGGTTTTTCCTTAATGAATCTATGATTCTGGTCTTGTAAATGCAATTGAGAAGTTAAAATATTAAGGAGAACAGTGTTAAAAGATTAGGAAGAAAGTTGGGATTATTTTGCAGTGTTAAAATTTTGGTTAAATTTGTTGATTCTTGTTGTGAGGATATGTTTTAAAGTTGAAATAATCAGAGGTAGTGAATAAGTTTTGTTGTAGAGTTAGTTCTTCGATTTAAGATTTCGTATAAAACAGGTTAACTGGTTTTCGAACTGAATTATCGGTTCGGTTAGAAACTGGTTCATACGATATTCTGGATCGATTTTAGTTCAAAATATTGTTTGAACTGAAAAACCAGTTTGGTTCAAAAAACACCCCATACAGTCTGGTTAATTGGATTTCCACACCCCAAATGAAATTACATATTATATGTATACTGATTTGTTCTAAATTTTCACCTAATGTTTTTGTTTCCCAATCAATAGAGAAAATATAATCAAAATGAGATTGCAGTTATAATCATAAAAGAAAGGAACCATTTAAATATCTAATGTTTTAACGGTTATTTGCCGTTAACTTTAACGGAAAATGACTAAATGACTTAAGTTCCCTTGCTTTTTTCTTTAGGTCAAGGAGGTTTGCTCCTTCCTTAAGTTCTTGGATTCAAACCTTGAGGCCACCTACCACAATAACATTATAGTTTACCTGGTCTTTTGGGCTTGTAGGGTACTAAATAGACTCCGGAGATTAGTTGAGATACATGCAAATTAGCTCGAACACTTTGGTTACCAAAAAAAATTAATTTAGTTCTTAAAGTATAAAATTTAAAACGTTACAACTAAAAAAAAAAAAATAAGAAGAAGAAAAGATTAAAACCAACTTTTTGAGGGGGATCAAAAAAAAAAAATTAAAAATTAAAAATTAAAAACTAAAAGAAAATAAAAAAATTAAAGGAAAATAATAATGGCTTTTCTTCCTTTATTTTTTTTTTTTAATTTTGATCATTTTTAATTTTGATTATTTAAAATTATAATTTAAAAACTTTTTTTTATTTTTTTCTTAATTTTAGGTATTTAGTTTTATTATTTATCATTTTATATTTTTATTATTTATTTTGTAGACAGAACAATTTAAATTTGTTCAATTACATCTTTACCTTCATATAAAATTAAATTTAAACTAACTGTTTATTGTCCATTAATTGATGGATTTGTAACTTCTGTCCTCCCATATAAAGTTTAAAAAAATTTATATCCTAATTGATAACACACACACACACACACACACACACACACACATATATATACTAATTAGAGTGATCTGATTGACCTTGGTGGAATCGGAACCGACGTGGGCCTGATTACAAATAATCAGCAATGCTATGAATGTAGAAACAATAATGAAAGAACACGAAAGACTTTCAAAGTGGTTTGGCAAGTTTGAACCTTGAGCTTATGTCCACTATTTTTTATTTATTTATTTATTTACTTAGACAACTTACAAAAAATCAATATACTGCCTAGAATAATTTGCCAACCCTTTTTCCATTGTTGGAAGGGGTTTATATACAAGTTTTTTACAAAGGAAAAAAAAAAATTAAAGGAATTACAATTAAGATTGAAATGCAACTCCGATATTCTCGTGATTGAACGCTAAGATCACGCCATTATTTATGTTGATTTGATCTCTTCCGAAATATCAAGGATTTGAGTTTATTTGTGATTTCCTTGAACAACTGTTAAGATTGGTTGCGACTAGCTTATGTTGGGTCGAGCTATATCCCGACGAGCTTATGTTGGGTCAGACAAGTGTTGAGCCGAATTGATTCTAGGTCGAACTATAACCTCGTGGAATTCTGACTTCTCTAAGCTTAATGGAAAAATCACACACAACATCTACCTCCTAGTGTTTAGTGCTCGTTTCGAGCTTCGAAGACTAATTGCTCAATTTGATATTAAGTTCAAGCTTCACAAGTTGTATGTTAAATGTAGGCTTGGCTGAGCTTCATAAGTCGAACTTGATTCAGTTAACGTGAACACGACTTAGCCTTTTTTATACTACAACATTCACAAAAGACCGGGAATTTGAACCGAGGGGCATGCGAGTAATTTCGACACAGTCATGTCGCATTAAATGCAGCTGACTTTTTCAGTTCCTTTTTGTCTCCCATGGGCGACTACAGTTGTCCATGGGCATAGTCGATGCGACGTGCGACAACAGTTATGATTGCAGAAGTCTAATAGTTGATCGCCCTTTTGTCAATGATCGACACATGGTTGTGTCGGACAATCAGGATTGCTCGACGAATGGAGGGCTGAGATTTTTTTTAGATCAATGGTTACGGTCGAATCCCGCCTCTTCGTCTCCCATGCTTACCACTATGAAAGCGGGCATTCTTTGTCAGATACTCACACACTTGCAAAAATATTCAGAATTTCTTTGATCAATTTTGATTCGAAGTCTTCCCGTGATCAATTTTGAGCACAAATTTATGCAAGACATCCTTAGTATCATAAGCAATGTCTCTGATATCAGACACCCACTTGCGAATCATAGCATCTTCAACTTATTTTTCTTCGGCATCCTTGATGAAACATTGCATCCATTCAAGCTCATTCTTTAGCAGTTGCACTTCATTTCCCACATCTCGTAAAAATACTCCTTTTTGGATGATATATATAATCTCCAAGCTTATGTACCACAAATGACACAACTACGTCAACCATGCTTTACAATTTTTTCTTTGATAAAATCTCCAAGCTTTTGTACCACAAATGAGACGATTGAGCAATGTTCACACAGGAAATACATGTTTATTTTACTATTCTCAAAATCCATTCTTATTCTATTCAACTTAAAATATTTTATTTTTAACCCCTAGATTTATTAATTTAACTAAACACCCTCAACAATAAAAGTTTATAAATTAACAAAAATACTCATAATCAATAATCACCCATATATTCCCAACAGCCAATGGCTGGCTGCCGACATTTAATAAGTATGTGGGAGTGTTTTTATTAATTTTAAAACTTTTATTATAGGAAGTGTTTAACAAAATTAATAAATATAGGGAACTAAAAATTATCTTATTAAACACATTTTCAAATTCAAATCTTATCGTCTAATAATAACTCAACTCAATTTTTCAAAAATCTTACTCAAAATAATAAAATAATCACACCTATAACCATCCATTTGAGGGTGGGTGAACGGTCTATTTCTTTGACTGCCTACAAAAACAGAGCTTGACTTATCGGTTCCTTAAATTCAAAGGCAATGTGCGCCACAAGAAAATTCAAAGGCAATATGCTGAGGAAGAATGAAATTGACAACCACATAAATTATACATGCTTGCCAGCCTTGCCTTTCTTTAACTGATGGTTTAAACCAATCACCTCTTCTGGGGTTTTCCAAATTCTTAATTTGGCCCTTTGGTCATGTAAATTATGCAACCATCCGCCCTGTTGTTAGCTTTTTCCGTTAAAACTAACTTTTGACCCATTTTAACCGCTAAATAATAACATTAGCCGTAAAAGCAAACTAATTTTGATTGAAATCTTCTGTTTTAGGTAATTTGATTGAAATTTTTATGTTAAGTTAATTTAATATAAAAAAAATTCAGATATTTTAACTAATTTTGTAGAAACTTATATTTAGGGGTAATTTGATCATTGCATAATTCAAAATCAGTCAAAAGTTATTTTTAACAGTTTTAACGAAAAAAATACTAACAGTTGGGAACGTAGTTGTGTAATTCAGGCATAACTAAGGGACCAACTTGTCAATTTCAAAAACTATAAGGGAGGTGATTGGTTTAAACAGTAATTAATTAAAGATAAAATGACTCACCAGTGGAATTCCCAGTGTATTAATATGTGATATAATTGGTATCAAGATTCTCCGTTACATTCTATAATTTTTTCTATTTTTTATTTTAATATGTGATATAAATGGTATCAAGTTCAAATTGTCTTGTTTTCTTGGTCAGATCCCAATCAAACACTACCTTTATTTTAACTAATTATTATATATATATATATATATAGTTTAATGATGATCATTTTGATTCTAATGTCGTTATCTTTACACACCAATAATTTTTTCGATCGGTGGAACCTGAACGTAGTCATTGTAGGTCATATCCTGACAACTGATTGAAGAATTTTCAACTTATATTATTTTATATAATTAACATGACAATAAAATTATATTATACTTTAGTGATGTTAATATAATTGCCATCATCAATTGCCAACTTCTTATATTCCTCTACCAAATGAAATTTCTATG